CCCGCCTCCACTCTTGTGGCGGCTTTCTGGTGTGCGATGTAGTCCTCTTTCAGCCTTCTGCCCACTGTGGACCTGCTTGATGCCGAATAACTGTGGGCAGTGTGGCTCGTTTTACTTTAAAGGTAGTTGGGACTCATAGGATCACGTTGCTGTTTAGCTGAGGTGTTACTTCCAAACGTTTAGATTTTAAATTTTAAAAATGTTTGAATTCATACTCAGTTTCTTAAAAAAAAGAAGCTGTACCTCCTCCCTCCCTATCCGAGGGCTATCCTTTGAAACTTGCGTTTATGTATTAAGAGGTGCCTCTAGTGTCATTAGCTGCTGAAGGCAGAGGTTTGTGTAATGTTTGAGTTACAGGATAGATCTTGCCAACAGCAAGCATCCAGGACCCAGATTTAAATCTTGTTAGGTGGGTCAAGGCAGTTCCCATTCTTTAAGAAAAGTTCAGTTAATGCTATTTCTCAATGAACATCTCTTCTAAAGTGGGAGCTTGAACGTTAAAAATCTAGTCAGTCATGTCTAAAACATGGAATGGGGTGTAGTGCAGCAGCAGGTCTAGACAGATCAGGTGTTCAAATTCCTAGTCCCAGTCCTCTTTCCAGTACATTACAGTTATTTCTCCCTAGGAAGTATTTCATTTAAGGGATCCTAGTTTACTTTGCTGACCTTGGCTATTTCCCAGAAATCCTTATCTTTGATAGCCTTAGAAAAGAAGCGAGAGGTGGGGGTGAATAACTTGAAAATATGGTAGTGGGAAGGATTCACTGCTGTTCCCTTGTTAAAACTTAAATTAGATTTTTTTCGTGTCTCTGAAAGGCAGTAGTATTTTACAGTACTCAGGTTTTGCTATTACAGTTGAATCACTGAAATTTACCGTCTTTCCTACCATGTTTCTGGGAACAGACCTATTTAAAGAAGTTAATTTGTCACATGTCAATATCATATTTTTAAATCTTTTAAATTTTTTAAGAGGAAAAGGAGATAAAGTTAATGGCTAAAATTGCCTTGCAGGAAGTGCTGAGTGATGGAATAAAATCGGAAAGATGCTATTATTATCGAAGACCTGACCTTGAAGTAAAATAACCTGTTAACTAAGGAGTAAATAAACAAGATTTTAAACTGATAACACATTGCAAAATACTTATATAACCCTAGTCAAGTTGCAAAGCATTTCTCTTATTAAGAGGTGGCCTGGGTAAACAAGTTTAGTGCATATGTCAGAAGCTTTTTTCCCAGCAGTGTGGGTGGGGTTGCTTTATTTTGTTTTGTTTTTTAAACAACAGTAACCAGAATGACAATCTCTTGACCACATTTTCATTAGCTGATCAATATCAAGTTAAAACTGTAAACAGAAAATAACATTCATTTGTGCAGAATCCTTGCTTATGATGAAACAGTTACTTTGTTTATTGCCCTTTGGCAGCCTGCTTCTGCAGTTTTTAGGGTTCTTTTTTTGCGGGCCTCTCACTGTTGTGGCCTTTCCCGTTGCGGAGCACAGGCTCAGTGGCCATGGCTCACGGGCCTAGCCGCTCCGCGGCATGTGGGATCTTCCCAGACCGGGGCACGAACCCGTGTCCCCTGCATCGGCAGGCGGACTCTCAACCACTGCGCCACCAGGGAAGCCCTAGGGTTCTTTTTCGATGTTGGATAATTCTTCCATCTCTTACAAGTTATTGATCCCAAGTTCAACACATGATAATTAAATTAGAAAGTGCATTTTCTTCCTTCAATTCTCATTTTGCCCCTTTGTATCAAAAGGAAGAGATCATAGCTGCATTGTGGAGTTTTGATAGCCTGTTCCATTTTGGGAAATGAGGACCATAAATGTAGGGACACAGGGTGGAAATGAACTGTGCTCAGTGAAAAGAAAGTAAATGGTTTTCAGGTCAAAATTCTTTGTTGCATGGTCAAACCTTTAATCCTTAGAGTCATTTTAGTGACTAGGGACATCAAACTGATTTCTTTGAGTTTTTTCTACTTTGTCATTTTGCTAGTTAAGTTTCCCTATGGTTCTTGTTTGTTCTGTCCTCACATATGTCTGCAAAGAATTTTGGTAATAATTATTTAACTCTTCTAAGCTTCATTTAAGTTAACGCTTAGTGTTAATAACAATACTTGATCATTTTAGTTGTATTTAGAGTTTGATTTAGAGACTGTTGGTGTCCCTTCAGGGTCTTGCAGGGGACCTGGTTCCTTTGCACTTTTCTCTATGTCTTAACATGGTGCTGGATCAAAAGAAGAGTAAGATATAGTTTATACTCCACAATCTAAGAGTTATGTTGAAGTAATAGTTCTAATGTGGTGGTGGCTTTTTTCTGCGTAATTGATAATTCTTCATATTCTATTATTTTTCACTAATTCTACTTAGCAGTGGCAAGTAGAAGTGAGTGGGTAGGTGGTCCATGAAGTCTTAGGCTATATATTTCTTGTCTATGGAATACTAAAAATTTTGAGAAACATTTAAAAAATTGCATGTGTGATTTGTAATGAATCGGCTAAGGCACTGTTTGGGAACAGATTAGTTATTTGATTTATAATTCAGTATTCAACCAGAGATGTGAATGAATTTTTAGGAGTGCAGTTTTCTCCTCCCTTGATTCTGGTGTTCTCTTTCCCAGGGACCTCTTTTTGTGGTATTAGGTACCATTTATTGTGGGTAGAGAATGGGTAGAAGGCAAAGGAAGGAACACTTGTTTGGGTTTGTAGGGCTGACACTTAGGAAAACTTTTTCTTTCCACATAATTTTTACCTCCATAAATTATAGTTTTTAAAGCATCAATGAACAGAATCCTTACCCATTACCTTTACTTAACCTTTTTCAGATACGGGAAAATAGGAATTTGTGCAGTATAAAATTACGATGCCAAGATACTTTAAAAATTATATTCTATTGCAAAAACCTATTTCAAAAGTGTTTAAATATAGTTTACTAATTCCGCAGTTGAAATACAATTAACATTTTTGAAAAAGAACCTTAATCCATATACTTTTTATGCTGTTCGAATTGTGGCACCAAACTGAATCTTTTCTGTTTTTTTAGAAATTAAGAAGTAGATACTTCTGCATTCTTGGAACTCTAGTTTTCTTGTTGTTTTGAAATAGTGGTCTCTCACTTTAGTTTTTTGCATTCTAGCCCTACTCCTCTACTCAAACAATCCACTAACAGATGAGAATATGTTGTTTCATGGATGTTTTGTGAAAGTCTTTTGTGGTCGTTTGCTGTGGATGACTTTCTTCTAAGGCAGTAACAATAGGGATTTCCATAGTACCAAGTTGTGGTTGATCTTCAAAAAACTAAATTGCAACACTCAAGGAAACTAAACACTTTTCCTTGATTTTACTTAGGTTATGACATTTGGGGCATATTTAATTTCAAAACTAGTAAAATTTGAACCCTTAATTGTAGAAACTGTTTTTGGAACCATCTTTTTTTTTTTCCCCCCTTCAGGCTATTTACAATATTTATTTTAAATGTTAATTCCTGGCGGTATAGTACTGTATAGAGGTGCAAGGGTGACATTTCTGTCAGTGCTATCCAGTGTCTCTGTGGTTGTATAGCTGATCTTATTTAGATGTAACAGTAAAGGAATACATTTAAAGCTCTTGTGAAATGCAAGGCCTGAGCTCAGTGGAGTCTATTTGGGCCCATCACCCACACCCAATGATAGGCCCTGCCTGTACAGCCATCTGTTTTTAAGAATGCTGCCTAATATGCCATGATGATTTCAATAAGTAGACATCAACGAATATTGGAGTTGGATTCAAGATAACTCCTATCATTTTACATGTAAGAAAACAAACCTAGAGAGAGGAACTGGCACGTTTATTAAACATCTATTAAGTTCTTACTATATGCCAGGCTACACTTTCCTGTTTTGTTGGCTATTCTGTATGTTAGAAACCATCTCTTAGTTTCCAAATAAATTCTCTAAATTTGCATCTCTTTTCATCATTTCTTCGTTTTGTATTTGTCCCTTCGCATTTTCTCTAGTTGAGTAGACAAACTAAGTTTATGACTTTAACAACTTAATTAGAATTTAAGTTCCATGAGAGTAGGACCTTTACCTCCCTTGTTCACCACAGCACCCTACTGCTCTCAGGGGTGCCTAGTATGTAGGACTACAGTTCAGTAAATGTTTGTGGAATAAATGAATGTTGTAAAACTTGGCATTGGAGGTTCATATCTTTATGCACTGTTAATATGAAAATACCCTTGAAAGGATAACACTAATTAAACCATTAACATCATGAATTAATTTATAATAGCTAACAATAATTATATGCCAGATATTGTTCTAAATATATTACCTCACTTAATATTCATATATTTATCTCATTTAATCTTTTTCTTTAAAAAAATTTATTTATTTACCCTGGTGGCGCAGTGCTTGAGAGTCCG